TTGTTTTAGTGGATTTACGCAGGACTGATAATTCACATAGTGATACATGGTCGTTAGCCCTTTTTACACATGAATCGCTCAATAAGGCGGCTACGAAGTCCCTTCTATATGCTGTCTTTGCTTTTTTAAATAAAACCCAACAACACTGGTATAATGCCGCCTCAGTGTGTGATTACAGATAGCATGCCGGTGTCCTGGAAGCAAAAGAGGCCTGATAGGCGTGATGTGCAATACTAGTGTTGGCCTCTAGTGTGACATGAAACATATGTGTTGGCAGCACTTTCTAAACAATAACAATGGCATAACAATAACAAAAAACAATCTTTTACCGTCCCTATCGTGGTGGTTGATCTCGTCCCATACTTGGTAGGTAAGGAGCTCCTGGACTTAATTGTTTCCCCAGTTTGTGGACATTTTCGGATGCTGTTTTTCTTTGAGTTAGCCGCTAACTGCTCTAGCTGCTTTTAAAAACTCCTGGTCTTCGTCAAAACGCCACACCTGTCCAGTCCATCGTCCCGTCCTGCCAGCCGTCCCTTTTACACAGATGTCATTGTGATGCTGGTAATACCTCTGCTGCCGTCTTAAAGGTGAGACAACTTGGTCCCCCCATTCCGCAATTGTACCCTTTATAAACAACGGTGAGGCGCAGTAACGGGGCGACATTCCTGCCTTAAACAGGCAGTGTCAAAGGGGCTACTGACGCTCTGATGCAGAAAATGGTACAGACAGCATAAGGGCCTGTACACATGCCATTTTTTTGCACCCTCAAATTCATTGTTTTCAATGAAGAGAATGCAGCAGAGTGCATCACATGTCATGTGACAAGGAACAACTTATCACCTTCTTCTGTAAATATCAGTCTGTGGTAAATATGACAAAGTTGATCAGTTTGGTGCAGAGCTGTCAGAGCTTTGCATCTGTCCCATAGGTATAGAACAATAGGCCCAGACACTTATAAACAGCGTAAATAGGCTATGATATGGTGCTTGTTAAGGCTGCTTAGCCACCGCAGACACAACCTGCCGCTGCGCTCTTGAAAACTGGCTCAAAAAAGGCACAAAAGTAGCACCCAGCACCCGACCTCGTGTTTTCCGTGCAGTTAAAGACACTGTATGTGTATGGGCCCTAAAAACTGTACACTAGATGTATTTTTTTTGCATATTTGCAGAAAACTTCCTGCCTTCTAATTTCTCTGTGCACACACTGTAAACCAAAACAGTTATCAGGTCAAAACGATTTCAACATTTAGATCTGAGCTGTATAATTAAACAAATAATAAATATATATAGTGTTAAACATGTGCCCTCAAAGGACCTGAACATACAGTGTGTTGTTGCTATGGTTCTGGACAACACAATCAATTTTGGTGATCACTGGTTTGAAGCAAAGCCTCCCAAAACTAAACCCCGGAAAAGCCTCTAATCCAGCAGCTGAGTTTGTGGGTTTGTATTTTGCATGCAAATTAAATTGTAAATAAGCAGCAGTAAAATAATGAGCTGAGCCCTCATAGACTCTGAAATTCAACCTGTCCGCAGGCACACAGTTTTTAAAGCTTTACTATGAGTGCACCATCACCTGGTCATGTCTCGTGGTGATATTACAAATCCAGAATCATCTTCCAGGACTGGGAAGGAACGACTCTTAACTGCCTTTTTTTCTGAAAGAACTGACAGATTTCTGCTGCAAACAGGATTAAAGAAGAGAAGTGACTGGATTACAGCAATTAGGCCAGTGTTAACAAAAACAGCCAAGAATTTAAACTTATTTCATGAGCACACAGTTGCTTAAAAATACAAATAAAGCATCACTTTTTAAGCAAATCTTTATTTTACTGGGAAAATCATCAGTGAAATATTTCTCCAAACCATAAAACCTGAACTTGGCCTCACAGCAGCGTGACTTTAGAGGAAACAGAACCTCAGATTTTTTGGCAGATTTTTCAACCCAGCTTCAAAGCCCCTTCCTTCTTACCTGTGTGTGTTATGTTAAGTCTACACTGACTGCTTACATTCAAAACCATTGACCTACATCGGCGGGTGTCCAGAATAACGGCGAGTCAGTTAGGAAGTTGAGGTTTGTGTGTGTGCTCATGTATGAACTCCATGTGTGCGCGGGGCAAAGGTAATGTGTCAAAGCTATATGTCTGCGTCAGGTGATCCATGGCCGCCAGTGTGTGTTTGTACAGATCTGCACATTTCCTCTTTTCCATCTTCCCAGACTGAATGAGGCCAATTGACCCGCTTTATGTGGACAGACTTTGTGTGTGTGTGTGTTCCTGTGTGTGCTGAAAAGTTTTTTTAAATGCCTATTTCACTTCTCAACATCTATAAGAGCTTTTAAGTGTAGGTCAGTTCCATAGTCTGCACAAATGATCTGACTTTAAAGTAGAAGTTTAAAGCTTAAACTGGGAAGCTCTGTGTGAAATAATGCAGCTTGGAGGCCCTCTTTTTTTTCAGAGATCCTGCAATACTACTGCAACAACACTGGTATAATGGGTGATTTTTAGATAGCATGCCAGCATTCCTAACACAAAAGAACTGTGACATATATCAAATGTGTTACACTTTCTAAACAATAACAGAGGCATTAAATGGCGATAACAACCACTTTAATCATGTTTTAACTTTTTATAAATGAAATAGCCATTTTTTGAATAAAGGCTTTCTATACATTTAAAGAAGAGTGCCTTGGATTTTCCTTTTTTTGACGTCTTTATTCCCACCAAAGAGCACCTTCATCACATGATTAGATGAACCTTCTGAGCACTCTGGACTTTCTTTTTGACTGATAACAATCATTTACCTTGCCCGATTTGTGTCAGTTGATTACACCCTCTGCTCGGAGCATAAGGAGCTCACGAGCCTCATTGTCCCCCCAGTGCAGACATTTTTGTCAGTTCTTCTTTGAGTTAGTTGCAAACTGCTATTAGCTGCTTTTTAAATCTCCAGGTGGTGGGCTGCACACATAAGATGTCATCAAAACGGCACACAGATGTAGATTCGACTGTGTTAACTACCTCTGCTGCTGCATTAAAAGTGGAGCAACTCTGCTCCCATTCTGTTTGTACATTTTATACCCAACAGTGAGGCAGAATAACGGCGCAACTTTCCCACAGCGAGCAGGCAGTGAAAAAGAGGCTTGTGCAGTGACACAGGGTCATCCAACTAGGACTTCCTGGATTGTATCTCAGCTGCACCTTAAGCAAAACGACCCCACCAGTCGCCACTCCAGTCTCTAGTGTTGTTTTAATGCAGACCTGATTTTGGTCTGAAGTCTTGCAAAGGCTATCGCCAGAAGCTGGTTTGCTTAGCTTAGCGAAAAGACTGGAAATGGCTAGCCTGCTCTGTCCACATACTTTTAAAGCTCTCAAATCAACATGAACTACAAAACACCAAGTGTAAAAATGGCAACTCGAGTGTTTCTTGACTCTGTTTCCAGGCAACCTGCGGAGACAGGAAGTTGTATTTCAATTTGTTTTTTGTGCGTATTAAACCTAACTGGCAGCTAACCAGCAGCCAGTTAGCTAAGCTATGCTAACCTGGCTGTCCAGCTTTATATTTAAAGGGTAGACATGGGAGTGGTATCAATCTGTAACTCTCCACCAGAAAGCGACAAAGCGTTTCTCTCAAAGTGTCAAACTAGTCATTTAAACATGCAGTGTGCATTTGTGTGTCTGTATGTTAGTGTGCACCAGCTCCCACTTAAATGCATCCTCTCTTTTTTAATCATAGGTGTCTGAGAGCAAAAGTCAGACAAAACCACGATTTACCGTCCCGCATCTCTCTCGTACTGCATGTTACATTCAATGCCACTGCACACGTGATGTAATGATATGGTGGGAGCGGTGGTGCTGTGTGGAGTTTGGTTCCCCGGTGGTCGTTGCAGCCCTGGGAAAAGGAAGTCCATACAGGAAGTGAGCTGGCTGGGCTCAGTCCTGCATGACTGCAAACACTGTTAGTCTGTCTCACCGCAATGCATGTGTGTGTATGTATGGAAAAAGTAAGTGTACACACACATGTACACACACACAAGTAGTCCTGCATTAGTGTTGATGTTTATGCATGCGTGATTTATTTTTAAATGCCACATGGAGGTGAAAAGTTCTACTAGTGAAAGGAACAGATGGCCATTTGTGTGTACAGTGTGAGAGCAGTGTATATGTGAGGTTTTTTGGAACGTGTGGATGTGACCTCCCCAACTCTTCCCTCACTTCCCCGACTTTGTGAATGACTGATGCTGCGGGAAAAAGCTCTAACGGCTAAAGGCTGACAAATGAACTTAGTCATCACATCACCTCAGAGCCAAGTTATGCGGTAATGTGCAGATCTGACGACAGGAAAGAACAGAGAGCAATGGAGCAGAACAAAACAGAGCAGGTCATCACCTAGACAGCGCTGGATGTTGTGAGTCAGTAGCAGAAATGTGAAGTAGGAAATGGATTCTGCAACAATAATTTTAACACTGTGTGAAGAGTCTCAATGAGTGCGTCTTTCTTTCAAGAGTTTCCACATTTTGCTGACATGACAGGACAGGTATTTTCACCTTGATGCCTTCAACGTGCTCCTCTCGTGCAGTGTCTGTGGCACGTGTATGTGTGTGTTGGTGTGTGCCAGAGGGGGGAGGGGGGGGTTGGTTGGCTCGGTGTGAGCTCTTTGTAAGAAGGGGGGAGTCGGGAGGTGGGAGGGAGGTGAACCGGGTGTTTCTCTCAGCTGCCTGTCGGTCTGGTTGCTGTTGGTAACTTTGCTTGATGAGATCAGAGGGGATCGGCTTTCAGCCCTTCATGTCTCCCTCTTCTCTCTTCTCCTTCCCTCCCCCTCTCTCTCTCTCTCTCTCTCTCTCTCCCCCCCCCCCCCC